ATAGTATTTATGAATCATAAAAAATATATGGATGAAATTTAATCAAAAATATATTTTGATCAGATTTTGTTTGTTGTTCTATATTCTTTTATCCAAATTTCATACAACGTTAAAATTTTCGAACAAGTCCAACAATGTTTTGGGAAACTCACAAAACTAAGATCCTAAGCTTGTCCCGCGTAATCCTAAGCGAGGGGTTTCATCTGTAAAGATTTGGAGTTCCATCTTAAAAGGTCAACCTTATTAAAAGGAATAACACAAACTCTTATAAATTGGTCTATGTTTTTATTTTTATTCGATATGAGATTTTATCTCTTTACATGCCCTGCAAAATGGTGGTTTGTTTGAGCAGACCAATCTTAAACTTCGTGTACCCAATTTTTTTTAGTCTTAATCGGATCGAATTGTTCGTTGGAATTAAATGGGCTCTGATACCATGTTAAGATTTGAGATTTCATCTTAAATGTCAAACCTTATTAAGAGGAGTAGTCCAAACTCTTACAAATTGATCTATATTTTCATCTTTATTCGATGTAAAATTTTATCCTTTAACATTATCTTGTCTGTTCAAGCAATTATGTATATATATATATATTTTAATTTTTTGAGAGTGTAACACTAAAGCAAAACTTTAAGAAGAAGCAAAAATAAAAAAGGGGAAGGTGGCTATAATTATTAGTAAAGCGTGGGGTAGAGAGATAGAGGCAACAACAATTATTAGTAGAGAGGAGCGTCCACCTAATCAACAATGTCGAGGATTCCTAAATACGTCAAATCCATATTGCATTAGGTGTCTTTATGTCTAAAGATGTGAACTTTACACGAGCCATGTTTTCTTAAAATTATTAAAAAAATTAGTACTAACGAATATATCCCTAGCTCCGCCCCTGATAAAGACCCATCGATTCGATTTGCTACACTATGATATCTACTTCAAATTAATTATTGTTTTTGTCAATGTTAAATCGACTACAGAAACAATCTGTTATTTCCTCTATTAGATTTATTAAAAGATATAAAATAATAAGGTCTTTAAGATGTTTACATTGGATGAAAAACTTATAATGTATGTGATTTTTGAGTCAAAGTTGAAGTTGAAGTTTGTTGGATTTGGATTCGACCACAATCTTGACAAAGAGGGTTAGCGCAAAGTTTGGCGATTGGATAATAGGAACATAAATGGGAGAGCATTTCAAATGACTTGATTTTTTTACAATCTCAAATGATTCCTCACTTGCAAAAGAAACTTGTACTCGTGTGTTAATGTACTATGTTTTCTTAAAAAAGATTGTTTACTTGTTGAGACGTTGTATTATTGTAATGTTTTGAAATTGTGTGCATTATTTTTGTAGTAAATACTCGATCAATTCAACAAGTTGAGTACAAGCAAACACTGTTTGGGATGGCCATAATTTTGCTCAACCACCTCAAATTAGGTGAAGTTATAGACACAAAATAATTCACACGGTTGAAGGCCATTATTAAAAAGCTAGACATTGTTCAAGGAAAGAAGGCTTTACTTTCTAATTGTACTTAAAATAAATTAAGTTTGATTAATATCCTTACCAACAAGGTCGAGCGCCTTAACTACAAATCATTGTCTCACATGAATAAAAAGCTATATATATA